AATATATAAATTAAATTACACTGTAGATACACACCCTTATAGAGAGATTGGGTAAGGGAGTCAGACATGCAGAGTAAGCTGAGTAGCGCAACTGCTTCTTAACAAAAGGAGCTTGCTGAGGTGGTTCAAGCATCTTATTAGGATGCCTCAGTCCTTCACCAATTTGTAATTTTTCAGATGTGTCCAACTGGTCGGAAGCTTCGCTAAAGACCCAGAACACGCTAGACAGACTATATATCTTGACAGTAAAAACCTGGGGTCCTCCAGAAGGAACTGGAAAACATTGCTCGGAAGAGGGGCGTCTGGACCTTTCTTAACCATTCTGGATAAAGAAAATTAATGAATGGGTTGATGGAAAATCAAGACTTTATCGCTATAATAAAACCAAAGTTAAAGGTCCAGTTTGTAAGATTTAGGTGAAAGGGATCTGTTGGCAGAAATTGAATATAAAATAATCCTAGCAATGTTGTCAGTATTGTGTTTCATCTAAAATGTAGGAATGGTGCTCCCAGACCTAATGACCGCTTTTGACACCATTGATTACGCAATCCTGTTATCACGTCTGAAAAACTCTGTTGGGATTAAAGGTACAGCACTCAGGTGGCTACAGTCATACTTAACAGACAGAAGTTTCTCTGTCCACCTGGGTGACTACTTCTCTGGGACAGCCGCACTTACATGTGGTGTACCTTGAGGATCCTTTCTAGACCCTTTCCTATTCTCTCAAAATATGCTGCCCCTAGCATCAATTATTGAAAAGTACAATGTCTCTTTCCACTGCTTTGCAGATGACATTCATATATACTTGCCCCTGAACCTTAAAACTAAGACTTCACTGTAGCCCCTGTTTGACTGCCTAAATAACATCAAATCATTGATGAATTCAAACTTCCTCAAATTAAACGAAAACAAGACTGAGGTTATTGTATTTGGACACTCTGAACTGCTGGATGTGGGCAGCCTTGCCCTCTAGCTCCTAATAGTCACTCCACTGTGAAGGGTCTTGGTGTTCATTTTGATAGGTTTTTAAAATTTGACCAGCAAATTTCCTCAGTTGTCAGGTGTAGCTTCTTTCAACTAAGGCTCATGGCCAAAGTAAAGGCCTCTCCCACAAATGGATCTAGAGAGGGTGATCGATGCATTCATAACCTCTCTTTTTGACAACTGCAATTCTCTGTAGGTGGGCTTAGCTTGTCTATTAAACACCTGCAGCTCGTCCAAAATGCTGCTGCTCGCCTCTTGACTAGAAAGAAAAACAGAGACCATATCACACCTGTGTTGCACTCCCTCCACTGGCTTCCTGTTCGTCACAGGATTGATTTTACTGTTAACTTTAAAATCTCTTAATGGACTGGCACCGCCTTACTTAGCCAAACTTCTTGATACTCACACTCCAGTTAAGGAGCTGAGATCAGCCACTCAGCTCCTCCTGGACTTACCTAAAACAAGGCTCTTAACCTGAGGTGATCGTGCCACCCCAGACTTGTGGAACAACTTACCACTCCACATTAGATCTGCCCCCTCTCTAGCACACAAATCATGACTAAAAACATATCGTTCTCCTCAAGTTGAGTCAGTGTGGCAGTTGTCATGCCATGGGGCTCTACCACACACAGCACAGCCAGAGACAAACATGGGGCTTTTCAGCATATTTTATTTATCACACCATGCAAACACAACTACAGTGGACTGTATCACTGACTAAAATCAGACACTGTAGCCAATGGCTCTGGATCAGGAGGAAAGATCCCAACTAGGCCCCAAGGCTAGGGACATGCTCCCAGGTCTGAACAACCTGTGGTGGTCCTTCCTTAGAAGAGGGTGTCTTGTGACTAAAAGACCAAAACACCTGATTATGCTAAGGGACAAAACTGAAGATATGTCCTTAACATCTGCTAACATAAACTGGTGGTATTAACTAGTGCAGTAGAAGATACAAGAGATATTCTCCATATTGTCCTATGTTCTAAAATGGGACAGTGTTTAATTTATAAAGGCGTAGAGGTAAAATGTCTGATCTACTGAATGGCCACAAGGCTTTCATAGTACTGCCATACAAGCCAGTAGCCACTAGTAATAAGTCAGATTTACCTTTAGCCACAGCTAACCCTCAAGTTCGGCCTTTATCGTTGATTACAAGGCCAAAACACTTGATGACGCTAAGGTGCACAATGGAAGTTGTCCCTAAGACCTTCTAACATCTACAGGTAGTTGGTAACCTAAATTGTGCAGAAGACCTTCAAACGTACAAGGGATATTCAAGCCCTACATTCTAAAAAAAAAGGGCTCCATAGCAACTCATAGTTTGCATTTACCCTGGAGTATCACACAGCCAAAAAGAATCAAAGTTCTTTATGTATCCAAGTTGGAGAGTTCAAAAAGGATAAGAATGAAGAAGAAACCAGAAACAAATTGTTTGAGCATCATCAGAGACTGAACAACTGTACTGAAGTGTGGTGCTGCTGAAATGAGGTTTCATTCTGAGTAACTACTTCTGACAACCACCACTCTCCAGGCAGAATAGGGAACAGGAGAGGAAAAGGGAACTATCCAGATCTTAAATGAAAAAACATGTGTGTTCTGATACTTTGAGACAAGTTTGAGATCTGCACTCCAGGAAGCAAGAATTTGCTCATATTCACAGTGACTAAAACTCTCACCTCTTTCTTGCTCAGCTTATGTCACAAAACTAACTGCAACATTTCTACCAGCCATATAGATGGTCACAAGGTCAAAAATGAGTACCTGCAAAGCATGAAACTGAAGATGATGGTTGACTCTCACGGTCCACCATTGCTGTAGTTTTAAGCAAAAGATGTGATGATATCATCTTTTGTGCTGGGCAAGGGTGTTGAGGTGTTTTCATTGGGAAATGTCAAATTCACAGCACTTACGGGATTGACTAGCTTGCTTCTCGCCCAGGTCATCACTGTGGAGATGAGAATGAACATCTTTGGTCCAGAAAAAATGGCCATTTCCTTGTGAAGAGCTAGAAGGACAACACAACACAATTATTATGGTCTTATTATATCTAAATATTCTCTGCCAGTTCAGTGCTTTTTGGGTTCTGCTCATAAAATCATTGGCTTGGCTGCAGATGATCTCTGTGAAACATGTACAGCTTAAATATAAATATGACTGTAGTTCTGAGAACAGATGGATATTCCTGGCAAGAGGCCACTCCATGGTCTAGAAAAATTGAGACAGCCTTCTTTGAAGATTCATTGATGACATTTATGGACACATTGTGTCTGTGAGCATTATGAAAAAATATGAATCTGACATTAAAATAAGTCAATCTACAGGTATCAATTGCACCGTGAAGTTTGCTGTGACTTCATCATCAAGTTCTTCCATTGAGAGTGTAAACTAACAGCTTAGTAAGAAACTGAAAATAGACTACAAACATAAAAGGGATCTTACAATCAGGAAGATCTTCAGCACCACGATGAATCACTGCAGGATAGGTCATATTAATGCGTCTTTGTCTTGGAGGACCAAACACATATTAAAATCTGAGAATGCAGCTGAAATCCAGTAGAACCAACCGCCTGTAAACTGAGGCAACAGAGACTGACAGCTGCTTACCTGAGACAACCCACAAGGCTTCCTCCACCTGCTCACTGTGCTGGCTGATGTTGTAGATGATAACATCACAGTTCATCAGTTTTGGAAGGAGCTCCTCCCTGTCCAGGTTCTTGCAAATGTACAATTAAACAAAAGTCAAAATCATGTCCCAAATGGTGATATGGTGGTGAAGATTTTGAACTTCTAAACATGAGTTTTCAAGTTAAACCCACCACTGAGTTTCTCTATAATATTGTATGGTCTCGACCTTATCATGTAAAGTGTCTTGAGATAATGTTGTGATTTGGTGCAAAAACTTCAACGGAATTGAAGATACATGTTTGATAATTGTGCACAATAGATAAATTATACTATACAAATATACGTCAGGTGCCACTGCGTTTATTTTCACCTCGGAATGTCCATAGTAACTCAGTTTACATTTACCCTTGAGTAGTTTACTGATATTCTACAGTACAGGACTTTGTTGGATGAAGAACTTACGAAATACTCCTCCAGCACATGTGGTCTGTCCTGGACAGATTGATCAGAAACACTTCCAACAAGCTGAAGAGCTCCCGACTCCATCCTTTCCTCTTCCTCAGTCTCCACCTCACCATCATCAGGGTCCACAGCTGCTCCCACAACACGTTCACATAGAAACTGCACACACCATGACACCAACACGTTAACTTACTGTTGCTGTAGCTCAGAGCTCCAAACATAACAGCCTCTGATAACACACATTCTGACGTTCTGACGACATTTTAACATATTTACCATGGCGATATACTTGGATGAGTATGAGTCTATATTGTTGATGAAAACTCGTCTGGTTGACTGACTTTCTTTCTCCATCATCGGCTCCGACATATTAGCTTATGTTGTTGGTGCTGTTGCCATAGACACCGCAGAAAAGGGAGAAGTCATGTGTGAAAGCACGGTGAAGCCAGACGCCCCTTGGATTTTTGTTGCGTGTCTACTTGTGCCTTTAAGGTAAAGTGGTATGGCTAACTCTATTTTAGTTATAGTCTCCATATATTTATCTTCATGGAGTATCTGCTCATATCAATTTTCACTTCCATTTACTGCACATTGACTGCGAAAAGGTAAAGTCTGTTAATAATGCAGAGAGATGAGGGTCTTTTGACTGTGATAGCCAGTTGAATATTTTCTAAACTAAGTCTCAGCTTCAGTTTAAGTTGGTTTGCATCAACATAAAGCAAATGGTCAAAAATACAGGACACTTGGCAGCAGTGTGTTGTTTCAACAGTAGTTTATACAGTAAAAAGTTAATATGAGGTGACAAGGCAGCCATGAAAAAGGCCAAAAAAAGGCTAGGATCACGTGAATTATTTTTTTTTTTTTGGGGGGGGGGGTTATAGATTCAGAATTCTGATCAAATTTTTTCCCTTTTCCATATTTTCCACATGGTCCTCATCCTTCTCTGTACAGGAATATTACATCTCAGTCTGATAGCACTCACAGTTAATAAACCTGACAATGATGTTTTCAAGCCACTTCCCTGAGAAATCATGAGTCCAGTACAAGCGCTGTCACTGTGTGAACCCGAGATGGGCATGCAGTCTTCAGTATGTGGTTTTAGTTACAATTATACAACATAGAAAATTAAAATCAAACCACTTAAAACCTTGAAAGTGTACATTACACATAAATCATTAGAAAATGGATATTAAAATATGAATGAACAATTAGAATGACATTAGTGGGCAAAGCATGTTGCTGTTTGCTGATGAACAGCTATTGAGATACCTCAGACCCCATTGAATATCTGTGGCCTTCTTAGAATCCTGGCACTATGCAGTTCCCTGCTGAGCAGGTAATGTGCAGTGGCCAATTGCTTTTACTCAAAACTGTTCTAAATTATGTTATATAACACATTATGTCATCCATGGTTATTTGTATACTCTTTTCATCACAGTGAGGTTGGCATATTTTCAGTTTATTATCAAAAAAAATTTTTTAAACCCTGCAAGGCAAAAAAAATTATCTTAAACAACACATTAGTCTCGTCAGGATGTAATGCATTGTTACATTGTGTGCCCTCTTGTTCCTTCAGTTCTTGAGAAAAACCTAATCTAGCACTCAAATATTAAATCAATGCATTGATTAAGCAAATAAATTATGCTATCATATATGCAATCATGCTATTTACAGCATACAGTAAACATTACTTCACAGTAAAATCTTTATTCCGCCAACACAGCAAAGTTATCAAACTGAGCCAGATCAAATGAGTGTGTTCCAATGGCAGCCCAGCCGTTGTTTGGAGTGAGAACCACAGCGTTCTTCCACAGCGGGTATCCGTTCAGCTGCCCTGACGCATACTGGCCCTGCAGGACAGAGGGAGCACAGTGACAAGTTGCAGTGGACAATCTGCTTGCTCAGCCAGACATGCACAAGCAGCTCAAAGTGTTGTGTATTCTATGCAACATGAACATTTTACAAGGCAAGCTCCAAGCATCACTAGTATTTCAGAAATAGTATGTTTGACACAGGTGGGATGAGGAGAGAGGTTGGCCAAGTACATCAAAGAGAAATTGTCATATGTAAAACATTTTGTCCTGATTCTATCAAATGAAAGGTAACAGCAATTCTACTTGAATGTCACTCAGCAGGGCTCAATCCTCCACCAAGGAGTAAGGGACTCCTGCAATACTGGAGGCTGCAGTTTCAGGACCTCAATTATAGCAAACTCACCAAATTACATTACGAAAAAGTAAAATGTAATCATTGTGAAACACACTTAATTCAAAGTCGAACAACATAAACCAAGGATTTATTTTATAATTTATAATACTAGAATTGATTATTGAAACTGTGGAAACACGACCCAGTAGAGTTTTGCAGGTTTGTCAACTGTCAGAAAACTGATGTGCCCAGAACGACTGTTTACCCTACCTAATTTTTTATCAAAAATAAAAGTTTTACTTAAGTGAAGTAAACCTTTAAAATTCTGGTCCCAGAAATGCAGTTCTGAAACTGTAGCTTCCAGTCATCCATTTCTTTACTAATACGAAAACCATAGTGTCCTTAAACTGCAGCCTCAGTCTGTAGCCTAATTATTACGTGGAAGATTGACGAAAACTATAAATACATGAATGAATAAATCACATTATATTTCAGAGTGTAAAAGACAATTCCTGGATCCACACAAAAATTATGAGTTCTTTCTTCCACATCTCATCCACCAGGTTTTGTGGAAATCTGTTCAGCAGTTTTTGCTTCAGATAAACAAGTCAACCAACAGACGGGTGCGAAAACATAAACTCCTTGCCCGAGGTAAAAATATCACTATCACATCAAAAATACATCTTCTGATTACACAACATTGTATTGCTAGATGTTGACATGAAACACGGCACAATGGTTTAAACGATTATGGCCCAACAGTGACATTACGTCAACTTTGTTTTGTTGAGTTTTTAGGATAAATGAATAATTGGTCACTCTAGGGCTGTCAGTTTTTTCCAAATATAAAGTTCAAAATACTTTGTCAGCTAACCACTTCCATTTTTTTTAGTGTTGTACATGAACGTGTTCAATTTATATTTGAATGAATCAGTTTACGTATGATAAACGTGAATGTTATTTTTTAAATCATCATTGTATCAGGCCATCATGTGAAATACCAGGAGCGAGAGGAAATGTGTGTGTGCTCCCAGACAGCACACACACACAGGCCCCGCCACTACTCACCCGTTTAGAGTGACACACACACAGTGAGATGAGAGGAGTGTTCATGTGAAGCAGCCGGTAAGTGACTTTGTTGAAGTACAGTGGAAAACAGTGAAAATACAGAGTTTCACTCTGATCCACAGCTGCTCAATGATCAGAAGATTGGTTTGTACCGTACTGGAGTTTCTGTGTCCTCCTGCAATCTGACCTGCTCTCACTTGAACTAATAAACACTAATCGGTTATAAGGTCCTGATCACATGTAGTACATGTACATGTGAACTGGCAAAACACTATCCATTTTAAAAGCAAAACAACGTAACATTACTGACTTACTTCACTGATGCATTTAGTCAAGGTGACAGTGAACTGCTAGATCAGGAGACAAGCCACTTCAGACACTCTGACACGCTTCCTGACTGTATTTTAATTCAAACAGGTCACATTCTAATTTTCTTTGAATTAATGTTCGAATTTCTAAAAAAAAAAGTAAAAAATGTATGAATTCCAACTGCAGTACAAGCTTCAGCACGTCAACTCTCAACACAATTATTATAAATAGCAAAAAATGAAGCCTTCTCTGACTTGAATTGCTTAGTCATAGTGAGGAATCTAGAGTATGACATCAGTGAGAGGTGCATTCTGGTTGACATCAGTGACATCTTGTGTTCTTGCTCAGGCTTTAAATCTTTTTCAACACAATCAGGTCCGGAGCCTCACACCTTCATGAGGATGTCACAAAGTCATTAGTGACAGACCGTACCAAAGCAAAATACAAAGCTATGAGTTTCTCAGACTAACCTGCAAACAGCCTTTCTTACTCATCAGTACAAACAGCCAAGTTGAGGATATTAAATCGCAACTGTACACAAAAATGTCTTGGAACGAATCCACATTTTAAAGAACTGTGAACAAAGAATGTAAAATCTTCACTTACTTTCACAGTGAGTGATAAGGTGTACCAGCCATATGTTCGTGTACCAGACTGACCCTCTGCAAGTACAGTCTGACCAGCTGTTGGCAACAGAGAACAAAGCAGGGCCATCAAACACAGGAGGAATTCAACAATGCACTTTGGGGACGGATAACATATTTGTAAATTACCGTTTAATATTTTTATGTGAAAATGTTTTGTCAACCATTGCTTTGCTTTTTTAGAATGAGTATGTCTAATGAAGCAAAGAGTGATGCTACTGACCAATGTCATTGGTAACTTTGTAGGTGCCATCTGCAAACACCCAGAAGAAGACTCCTTTAGCGCTGCGGACTGACTGCCCTCCTTTGTCCACTCTGGCTGCTATGAAAACACCACTTGTCTTAATACTCTCCATGAAGACGTCACATGTAACCGTCAGGTTCTGCCTGTAAAATACACAGATTCAAGTCCAGGATGTAACACAGTCAGGTTGCTCATATTTGTATAGATCAACAGGTATTGGAAATGTACACTCAACAAAAACATAAGGGCAAACACATATTTTCACTCTCATTCTTCACGAGTCAAAACCAAAGATCTCAGATTTCTTCTGTGCACACTAAATGCTTATTTCTCACAGATTTGTTAAAATCTGTATTATTGAGCACTGCTACGATAATCCATCTACCAAAGTGAGGTATCTCAAGATGCTTACTAAAGAGCATGAGTATTGCACAGCTGGCCTTGAACTGGTCATAATAGCATGTTTGGGATGCTTTGGGTCGACATGTACAACAGTGAATTCCAATCCCTGCCAATATCCAGCAACTTTGCATCAACATTGAAGAGGAGTGGACCAATATTCCACAGATGACAATCAATCAAGCATTCATTAACACAGATTTTAACAAATTTGACAACAAAATGTGAGAAATAAACCTTTTTTTTGCACAAATAACATCTTGCATATTTTGCTTCAATTCATGAAAAATGGGAACGAAAACAAAACTGTTGCTTTTATATATTTTTTTAGTGTACATAAAGTAGCATAATCTCACCACAGATAATCTCCTATGACACTGATGGTCTGTTCAGCATCAGCCGCCCATGTGACAGGTCTCTGAGTAAGAACCTGTCGCAAGGTGAAGACGTGAGGTCCGGGATCAGTCAGGTTGACATAGTACTCAAACACGCCAGTTTGGTCAGCAAAGTCTGGAGCTTCAGTGAATGGTGGGTTTCCTACAGGATGTTAATACAAAGATAGTGAAGGACTAGAAAAGACCAGAATGTCCACATTAAATTCCAGGACATGTTTTACAAAATATAGTTTACAATGTGGGTACATTGCCAGACCTAACGCCTTTCAATGACTTTTCTTTCTCTACGCTTCAATCAAGTAAGTTTTCTATTTCCTGCACATGCAAAGACCTTTTTGAAAATTATCTAATTTGAGACAAATGAAGAGTCATGTGAAGAAGTGAATCATTATTTGGGTTGTTTTATTATACTTACGAATATTAAAGTTATCCCTGTATACTTTAGGGAAGCGGGCTGAAGGAGGTGGCTTTGGGTAACTGCCTTTCTGTCCAGTTGTAATGGTAGTTACTGTGTAGACCTCATCTTCAGCCATATTTAATGTGAATGATCCATCTAATACCTCAAATTTTGTAAAAGAAAAGTTGTAAAAGACAAATTAGACATTTTTAAATTCTTAGCTCAGTGTATTTCCTGCAAGAAGATGGCATGTTCAGATGATTCTGAACTTTGCCTTTACCTTTACAGGAGTTTGCTTCTGAAAAAAGACAGACTTTTTTGTCTTCAAGTTAAACTGTGACCGCCATACTTGCAGCTCCTTGATAGAGGCCTGAGAAAAATAAACAGCCTTAAATAAGAAAAAAAGAATCACTCAATAACTGTTGGCAGTTTGATGAGAAACTCAGAGGAACATACAAAGGATCCCTTCAGCTGGAAAGTTGCATTCTGGGAGGTCACATTGAATGGAGGGAGTGGTGGTCTTATGCACACTGAATGATCATGAGTCTGTGAAGGAAACATCCAATCATGCAGAGTAAGTGCAGTGTTATTACTTTTGTCTCATATTTTAAATCTGGATATGCCAGTTTGACTGTTGCTTTATTTCACAAGTGCTTTTTCTAAAGCAACTTCAAAAGACCTTTTTTGTCATTAAAATACTAAACATCAGACATGTGTACATTTGAACAAAATTTAAATGTATCTAATTTTGCATCTGGCTCACAAAACAGCAGCCAGCATCTTCATGCAGAACCTCAGGGAATCATCTTGCGCAGTATTAATACTTTTTGTTGGTAATTCTCAGATTTCCTGTCACAAAAGTGAGTTTGATGAAACTAAATCATGTACTGATGAAAGTACATGTGTATGGGGTTCAGTGGTTTGCTATGGTGGTGAAACTTGCTGGAACCAGTGATGATTAGTCAAACTTGTGTTAAAGTTGCATTAATTGTTGTGCAGAATTAACGGGGATTAGTTTATTTTGTGTTAATCATTTTAATTGAAACCTTATGGATTCTTGGGAGGGACTGATGTGCTGCTTTGTAAGTATATGTATGTAACAGGTAGATATCTGGAGCTGAAAACATGACTTTAAACCTCCTCCTTTACACCCTGCGGCTCTGCAGTTTCCCTTCTCTGAACAGCTACACCCTTAAAAACTAATTTTTTTAGTAATTATTTCAAATCAAAGCACAATGATGTTAAAACATTTTAAAGATAAAAGTTTAAAAAATGTGTTAAATAGGAAATCCTAACTTGCCATAGTTTCTATGACAACAGTGAGGTTTCCATTTCCATCAGTAAGTGCAACATAACTTCCCCCTTGTGCCAGATGCCCAACAGTCTGAAGGTAGGTCCATCCTGGCTGGGTGAACTGTGTGGTGTGGGCTGTAAGGGAAACAACAGCATGAAATTATCAAGTAATTATTAAAGCAATTCTGAAAATTAAGAACTAAAAAAAGATTTTGCTGATATTCTGTCCTAAAAACTGCATCAAATAGAAGAGGGAGAGAGAACTTTTTAAAAGAGGGGTGTCAACTAGTGGGCTGAAGGTCTGTGTGAGTTGAGGCCTCATGGCAACGTATGTCACACTTCCCTATCTTTGCTTTTTCATTATAAACTACAATTAAACTAATCAAGCAAAGTGCATGTTGTTCTGTTTCAGACCTGTGATCCAGATTGGAGATTCCACCACGTAGTTGCCACTCCAGGGCTCCTCAGCAGTCATCAGTCCATCTCTGCCAAAAGGCAGTTCCTTATAGTAGCTGGCCACCAGGTTCCAGGAGATGGTGCTGGAAGAAGATTCACTATGAACAACCAGACAGCTCACTCCTCTCCTCACTACTGTTTCTAATTCTTAGTCTGCTCAGGATTTTTAGAAGAAATATTTTCTCTTTCTGTGATCAAAGAGTTTACTAATTCATTATGTAATTAGGAAGTCCTTTATTAGTCCCACAATGGGGGAATTTGTAGTATTACAGCAACAAGAGTCAAAAAGACATCAGCAAGTAATAATAAGTAACATGCAATACTTATATATACAAAATATATAGAAATATAGAAACATATGGGTGTAATTAAACTAGGGATGCACTATATAACAGTCTGATATATTATCAGCTCCATAATGCAAGTTTTATTATATTTATCCATCGTAATCGGAAATAAAATGTTTGATAACGCGCCTGATCGCGCTCATGATGTCATACATCCGTGCCTGTCCATACCAGCGTAATGTGTTTACGTCAGAACTGAAAACTGTGTTGCCGTTGTGGTTTTTAACACTTTCTGAGAGTGACTGTAGGATTGCAATTTGCAACATATGTGCAAAGGTTCCATGAAGGGGAAAATTTTTTATCACTACCAATCTAATAAATCACCCTAAAGTCCGTCAGTGCGACGAGGATGCATGGCGAGCATACGAGGCGCTTGCAGCCAGCCTTAGTGAGGAAAAAAAAGGCCAAAGCAAGTGTCAGTGCAGCACTGTCTATCCAGTGGGCATTTCAGAACTGCAGGAAGTTTGCTAGATACAGTCCACAGGCTAAAGTAATAAATGACAGAATCACTGAATTTTATCCCTCTTGATGAGCAACCGTTTTCAGTAGAAGACAAGGATTTCGCCGACTAATTCACCGACACATTTCATGCCCCGTTAGACTCTGCCAAGTCGCAGCTACTTTTCAGATATGTTCCTGTCTGCCATATATGATGTGGCCGCCGCACACATTCCTAGTCTGATAGATGCCAACGTAAGCAACATAGGTTTGAGATGTCATAATATTGAATTTAAATTCTTTTGAAGGAGAAATTTTCCTCCTCCACCTAAAGTTGTTTGAAGTTTTCTGATGTACTTCACTAAATAACTAAACACTCAGAACTGAGTCAGAACTGTTTTTGTTGTGTTAATAATGGAATATTAATTCAACCATATTTGCTTATTATATTTTGTAATTTTACCCTCAGGTGTGCGTAAACTACAGGATATGAACTTCTTTTTAAGATGCGCGAAATTATTACCGGTATCAGTATCTGCCATGTTAACCATGTAATTATCGATTATCATTATCGGACTATATATCATGCATCCCTAAATTAATCAGTGTAAAGACAGGAAGAAATATATGCAGCGTGAGGCTATTTACAGTGAATGGAAAGCACATGAACTGTTGTTATTGCACAGACAGATGAATATAGCAAAGTGAATATTGCACGGTTGAGACTTAAAAAAGTTAAAGTGCAGTCCATAATGGTGGTGAGGAACGACCTGCAATATCTCTCTTTCAGACACTTATGGTGTAATGAAAGGATAACTTATATAAAGTACAATCTGTAAATATCATAAAATTTAAAGGGGATAGTTCACGAAAAAAATGAAAATTCACTCAATATTTGGGTACTGGATTTGTCTGGAATTCTGTTCACCCCTGAAACTCCAAAACTATGCCTTTAAGGTTAATCACACAGCAGAATGCTTTGGTTCCTAAATTACAAAGAGTTGCTTGTGGGTTTTCTTACGCTGTCATGTGACCATTGACATAGTTCTGGTTGAGGATGCGAGCCCAGCAGCCTCCTCCAACCTCATTGTTGTAGGTGCTATAGTCCTCTGACGACCAGAGCTTCTTCTGCGTCTTCAGGGCATCTGTCACTGTGGTGGTGCCTGGGTAATGAGCCCTAGACACAAGGTAGTTAATGTTTTGTACAAATACATGAGTTTCACATTTTGGAAATGAAACATCTGTGTTCTGGAACACAAACTTGCTGATATTATATGTGGTCTTATCAACCATTCAGCAGTCACAGCTGTAAATTAATGTTTCTACTGGCAGATGAATGCAGACAAAAGATTTAAGTTAAAATTACTGAAATTTATATTGTACATTTGAGATGAGCTTGTTAAAATGAAAAGCAAAAAAATACTCATAAAACATTACTCAAGACAATATTCAGAGATAATCAGTTGGGGGATAAAACCAGCTTATTCAAACAGCCTCAAGAACATATTGAAACTTCAGCAGCTATTTAAATGTCCGCCGAATGATCTAGGTGACTATAGATCCACATTAAGTCTGTACTGATTAAACTGTTTCAGTGGCACTAAATAATACTAAATATCAATATATAATAAATCAAAGCTTTTCAGTGAAATGATCAACGAAATGTGTATATTAAAAGTGTGTGTGTCAAGTAAAAACACAAAGCTAAGGAGAAAATTGCCTCGAATATTGATTGGCATTTACAGTAGCCAATAGCACTGAATTTGCAGAGAGTTGACATTAACCAGCAGTTCAACATGTAAAGTCATGACTAAAGCTTGCTCTGTGTTGTCGAGGACCTGCTAAGTTGCTCTGCCTCAAATGCCATGTCTGCATTGTGATAACAGTGTTGGTTTGAGTATTTCTGTAACTACCTAAGCTTTTCACACAGTGTGGAGAGATTTAACGGTATGGGACCAAAATCAACATTGCATACAAACAAAGATGTGGTAGGGTTAGGGAACAATTAATTATATTTTGGTGAAGATCTGGATCAGGGAAATGTTTTTTTGACATTCCAAACGTGCACATTTTTTGACATTTTCACCAATTTCCCAGGGAAAACGGCATGGTTAAAAACCATTGGGCATTAAGAGGACTGATATATATGAGGGTGTACAGTTAGCTGTATGAACTCTTCTGAGAACTATGCTTCTTCCACTAGGAAACATTATCAAGACATACTTGTAAATTTCCACTGCTATGCGGATGACACCCAGTTATACCCATCAATAAAACCAGAGCAGTGTAATCAATTGACTAAACTTCAAGCATGTTTCAAGGACATAAAAACCTTGATGACCTAGAATTTTCTCTTATTAAACTCAGATAAAACAGATGTTGTTATACTTGGCCCTTAACACCTTAGAGAAACATTATCTAATGATTAATCACAAAATGCTGCAGCACGTGTCCTGACAAGAACCAGGAAAAGAGATCACATTTCTCCTGTATTAGCTTCACTAAACTTGCTTCTGGCTATAGAATTTAAGATTCTCCTCCTCAACTACAAGCCCCTTAATAATATGGCACTTTAAAGAACTCATTGCACCATATCACCCCACTAGAGCACTGCGCGGATCCTGTATCGTGCTGGCATCTGATCGTAGTGGTGGACCATGATCGAGGTGGCAGCTGATGGTGGATCCTGATGGTGGCAATGGATCATGACGATGGATTATGGTGGTGGATCCTGATCGTGGTGGGTGCTGATCGTGGACTATGATTACAACAAGACTGCTTGATATACAATATGTCTACTCAGATATTCTACCATTACTGACAATAATTCCTGAATTAATTTACCTTCCTTTATGCTACAAACTGTTTATTCTAACCAATGCTGTTAATACTATTATTTTTCTGACCTTCTCCATTACACGTGGCATCTATTGCACTTCTGTTATGGTTCCTGGGAGAGGGATCCCTCACATGTGGCTCTCTCTGAGGTTTCTACATACTTTTTCCCTTGTTAAAAGTTTGTTGTTTTTGGTAGTTTTTCCTTACTCTTGTTGAGGGTTAAGGGCAGAGGATGCCACAGCTTGTTAAAGCCTTACGAGACAAATTGTGATTTGTGACTATGGGCTATAAAAATTATATTTTATTGATTGATTGATTCTAGTTTGTACTGTATCACATCATGTGGATCATGCAGGTAAAGCTTTTAGAGAAGCAAAGTATTTTCAGACAGAAGCATAGAGTTAGAAACAAACTGAAAACAACAGGCTTCATGCTCAGAGGAGGATCCTACCCTATCACGTCTACAGCTCTGCTCAGCTCAGGGTCAAGCAGCAGTGACAAAGCAATGGGCTCCCACAGGTTGTCACTCGCTATGATCCTGACCCTTTCCAGGCCATTTTTATCCAGAATGTATCGCAGCAGCTGGTACAGCCAGTCACAGGAAGGAAAGCACAGGAGACATGAATTCAGAGCTAAACAACATGGACTTGGTTTGGCTTTACAATATTTGCTGCGATCATGTAAAACATGCAATTGGAGTCAAATTTGTTCTCACCCGAGGACTGTTCAGTCCAATATTCATTGTTTACAATAAACAGTTAATAAAAATATTGACTGGTATGGGTGTTACAGTACAAAAAAAAAACATGGGTCCTTGGTTTTTGAGGTCTAGGTTTGGTACTTTTTTGGTACAGCTGAAACAAGGAACACAAAACATTAAATTGTTAGGTTTTTCTTTTCTTTTTACTCAACACTGTTTAACTGAACAGACTATTGAGGTGTCTTTCTAACCTAAAAAAGTAAATTTTACAAAATGTTTATAAAAAGAGTAAAATAAATATCTATTAAGGTGCAGCATGTAGAAAATCCACTGTTGAACTGTGCTGTACTATTAACATTAGCAGAATTGAGCTTCATTTTAGGACTGTTCCAGCTTGTATTGGGGTTTGCTCGACCTCTCGTTTGTGAATACTTGTATAGAGTGGTTCTGATTTTTTTTGTTTGGAGCACTGTATTGTTGAGCAGAACCCCATTAGGTGTGGTTGTGGAATGTGTTGATTTTGCATCATTCTGCCGTTCTGAGACATGGTGTGGCCTTTAGACTGCTGTTAGTAGTCTATGTCGCTGGGACAAATAAAGTCAGTGTTGGCTGCATGCTAATGCAGCTTTATAATTAAAGGTTGATCAACAGAGCAGTCATTTTCTTTTCATATTTGTCTTTAGAGGATATATTGCACTTTTAAGTGAATTCGAAGAAATTATGTGAAGACTTTGAAGAGATTGCATCAGCAACAATATGAGTACACCAATAGTTGTCCATGGCATAAAATATCCATCAAAGAAAACAGACAGAAAAGATGTCTGAATAATTGTGAGAAACAAACTAAAGGGTTAGACCCAGCTTGGCCAAAGGGGGGTACATTTGATGTGAGCATGTGTGAGGATATGGAGCTCAGAATAAAAGACTATAAAGCAAAAGATAAGAGCAAAAAGAGAAAACAAAAGGAGAAGCATAGAAAATAATGAGACAAAAAAGCAACTGCTCTCACAGGACGCAGCTGGTTTATATCCAATTCTGTCTGGAACAGTGCAGCTCACAGATGTCGAGGACTATAAAGCACATGTTCCCAAACTTTTCAGTACGATAAAGACCAAAGAAGCTCAAACCTCCAAGAGGGTGCAGGTAATAGATTGTTACACTGAAAAAGATGAGGCTCTCAGCAGAAGAGAAAAAGAAGTGAMACTAGTTACACCAACATCCACAACAAGTTGACGGAGATGAGGAAGTTGAGAAACAGGACAAGGAACGTAGAAAGGTTCAGGAGATGGTAGCTCAATTAGAGGCTGAGGTCTCAAAATACTGTGTGCCTCTAGGAGGCAGTAGACAGGAAGGGATCAGATACAGAGCTGTCAGAGAGAAAATCAAGAACAGACTAGTGGCATTGAAGGGCAGCATGGGGTGGGCCCCATGCAAGTGCTGGGAGAAGTCTGAATTATGCAGAAGGCAGGGAAAAGAGTGAGAGCAGAGGGGGAGCTGGGACATCAGGCAAAGAGTATGGGCTCAGGGACAGAGCTACGGTAAAAACCCCAGACAGATATGGAGCTGCTGATCACTTTCTACTATTAATAAAAGGGTCACAGGGAGAGTATTGGCAAACACTTGACTTGAAGGCTGATCTCCAGACTCCCTGACCTCCATGAGGGGGCTAGTAAGTGGATAAAAACATTTGAGGAGATGGTGGGAAAAATGTTGGTGCTTAGTAACATCAAAGCTCTGTGGGCCAAAGTCATAGGGGTGCCAGAGATGGAGGCCATAAGTGGCAATGCTTGGATGATGAACCCACAGGCAGACAGGACTGAGTTTAACCCATACCGACCCAGCCTGTTGACGTTCCTGAAAAGGGAGTATCCGGTATTCAATCCGGTGATTGGCCCTAAAGCACTGAATAGCGAGCCGATCTCTGACACTGAGAATCCAGCAGCATATATCAGTCATCAGCTGAAAAGGTAGACACAAGAGATGGAAGAAGATGATGCGGAAAGCAGTCTTCTGCAAACTACACTCTTCATAACGTCAATAATAGAGACTATGCCTGGCCCAGTAACAGGCTTGAGGATGTGGTGGGGCTGACATCAAAGACACACACAGAGTTCTGTGATCATGTGGTTCACACTTTTGAAAAATTAAGAAAGGATGAACTGATCCGTGGGGGGGTCCCTAACCATGGATAATAGGGTTGCCCAGAGAATCCTATAGGGGAGGGTGAGCTTCCTTTAATAACCGTTGGAACTGATAAAGAACCTATGATTGAGGTTCTGGTAGAAAATAAACCAACATTGATGATGGCTTATACTGGAGCTACTTACATGTGTCCAGAATACGCCACACACCTCCCCATGTCTAATAAATTTGTAAAGACAGTAGGATTCTCTGGAAAAAGTATTGATTCCAATGACAGCTCCAGCTCGGCTATCAATCGAAGATGGTGAAGCTATACTGCCTATTAAGGTGAAAATTTGGTGCTCACCACAAGGGGTGTACACTGATAGCTCTTGAACTGGCCTCCAGGTGTATGCATTGGTTGAGAGGGCTAATATTTATTTGCTAGGGAACCTGACAACACTGGTAAGTGAAGTATTCAGTAAGTGGGAAAAGTTTATTCATGCTCAGATCCCAAAAGCAAAGGAACCATACTTACTTTCAATATCCATTAAAGCCTAGAGCAGAGCAAGGCATAAGCAAAGAAATCGAAAGGTTAATAACAGCAGGGGTGCTAATTGAGACCCAAGGTTACTGGATTGGTCAGTGGATATTCCAAACCTTTATAATCTTATCACAAATGTGCCACCTGAAGCGAACTTTTTTCACAGTGATTGACTTGTATTCTGCTGTTTTAGCATTCCATTAGCAGGAACAAGTGTGCACAGTGTCTGGCGGCAAAGGGGCACACCAAAGGACGAGAAGGGACTTTAGAGGTCCCCCTCAGGGTCTGGTTGTTGCACCTGTGGCATTGTTGACTTTGTTGGTATCTGAATAGTAGTGAGGAGAGGTGATAAGGAAATTAAGGCAACAGGGATATTGGTCACCATATTTGTAGTTAAAGGTTGATGTTAAGACAGTGTGAAAACAATGTGAGAAAAGGTGTAAAGACACCAGTGGGTCATTTCCAGAACTAGAGGTACCATTCAAACACCTATTAATGGATTATGTCAACATGATAAAATCAGTGCATGGAAAAAGATTTTTGATAATTGATCAATTCAGCCATTGGGTTGAAGCAGTAACATCAAAGGATCAAAGCGGGACACCCGTTCCAAATAGAGAAGTGAAAAAAATACAAAAAGTAGCCAATCCTACAAAAACTAAGGGTTAAACAAAGGTTGGGGTTAGTTAACCATCTTCAATCACAAGGGAAGGTGGAAAGAGTTAACAGAACCCTTAAAGCTAAGCTAAACAAAATCTCTGCTAGCACAAAGCTAAACTGGGTAGATGCTCTCCCACTTGCACGAATAAGCTATTGCATCTAAACTAACAGAACCATGCATTTAACCCCACATGAAATGCTCATGCACCAAAATTTAAGGGGCCCATACAAAGGACCCCCACTTTAACATTTGCATATGAAGCTGAAAATTCACTGCCATACAAAAAAAAAACATACAATTCCTCCATACTGCTCCTGTGGTGTCATCCACAGCCTTGACATTCAAATTTGATTCAAAAAGGCATCATTTGTCCCCATGTTTTTAGCTTAATTGTCCGGGTGAACTATCCCTCTAAGTTACCTGTTTTATTTGTCATGTGCAAGTTAACACAGGGTCAGGAGTACAATGGTGTTGGACAAGAAGAAACCATTCAGCTAACTAGTGCGATAGTTAAATTAAAATAAAAGCAAGGTAGAAAGAGCTTACTGTAAAAAAAGTAAAATACAATACAAAACTAAGACTATATACATTCAAAGGTGCAGTGTGACATTCGTTGGAAATTAAGTAATGACTTTAACTGTATAGTGTGTGAATAGTTATTGCACATGTGTATGTATAGTTATTGCACCGTGTGTGTATCAGTTGTGATTCACATTCTTCCAAATACAGGCTTAAAACAAGCCGTAAATGACGCTGGTTTGAGTTGAATTTGAATGTCGAGGCTTCCTGACACTTGGGATTGAGTGTGATTGCAGAATTGCCACGACAAATGTTTGTAGGATGGAAAACCAAACCAATGAGTACAAACAGATTGGATTTGATCAATGGAAAATAAATCTAAAACTTTTTCATAGTTTTACTAGGCAAAACATTTGCTTAGGAAAGGTAAAATGCTTTTCTTTGGCCCTGTACACACCTGGTATTAACATGTGGTTTTTGTTTACCGATCACAAGCAGACAGCTCTAAAGACAGGTGTCAAGACACTCAGATCGCTATTCTGATCACGTCAAGACTACATTCATAGGTGGTCTGGGCGACATGTCCACATTCTTTTAACAGTCTGAATGCAAATCCTTCCTGGGCCTCATATGAAGGACCTCCCACTCAGCTGTTTTCCTCAGAGCAATCAATCTAATGTATTCTATTCTCTTTGATTTGTTTGTATCCACCGTCACAATATCAACCCTGATCAAAACATAATGATTAGTTATTAAATTGGTAAAAATCTTCCTTCACAGCGCAACTGTTTACATCTCTTTACATCTCTCTCTTGCTTACTCGCTTGTGCAGATACACCAACACGCACGCACGCGCACACAGAGAGACACAGAGAGATCTGATTGGATCTCTGGTTGGACCTCTGAAATAACAAAAAATTGGCAATTAAAAAAATAATGAAGCCTAGAACCAGGTATGAACAGCCCTCTAACACAGGAGTCATTCCCTGGACCTCAGGATGCTCTATGTACAACTATGAATGAACTATATGACGATGCCTAAACGAACACACACAGGCACAGTTAATATCAGGTGTGAATGCATGCACTCAGAGCTGTCCACATGTAATTGTATCACAATCACGGGGCATTTGTCTTACATCACATGGCAATAAGGTGAGCTTAAGGATTTGAATTGTTGTCCAGACATCTAAACATGTCAGCTTGGGCTGTAGGTAAAGATTACAGGCACTTATTAACAGATATTTTTTAGACAAAATAAGTAATTAGTTGAATTATTAGAGTTTAAATTCAGAAGAGTGAATATCATTGATTTGAATTTTATTATTGAGAATTCAATTATTTCAC